AATGATTTTCAAAGGCATGAATCTCATCGTCACTGTTCTGCTTAGCCCTTCCAGTGACTGCTTCTTATGCTGAGAATAGATGCCCAGAGCCTTGGAATCGGTTGCCGGGTGGAAACCTACCCTGAGGGTCCACCTCTTTGGCAATTTTGAGGGCATCAGAGTTGGCCAGGTCAGAGTTGGCGGGCGACACAGCCAGGATGAGGCAGTTCTCTTTGGTGACGAACTGCATAAGCATGTCCCGGATCTGGAACTCGATGTCGGCAGGCTGGTCCCCCACTGGGACCTTGGTCATTCCGGGCAAGTCCACCAGGGTCAGGTTCAGCACTGGACAGGGCGGCGAGAAGGCGGGCTCAGGTGAGGGGCGTGGCCATGGGTGTGAGGGGTTAAGGAAGAAGACCCGGATTAGGGAGGATCCGATTGGGAGCCTGGTCATAGGTGGGCGGAGCGGGCTTGGCTAAAGCCGAGGCCCGTTGGAGGCGTGACCATAAGTGGGAGGAGTCGTGAAGGGTGGAGTTTGGGTAGGATGAAGCAGAGGAGGGGTCACTGTGGGGCGGAATTGGCAGGATCCGGGCACGCACATGCCGCCAGCAAAGGGGCGGGACCAAGAAAATTGTTCCGAGGGGCGGGGTTAAGCGAGTGCGCAGAGAATTTTGGGGCGGCGCCAGGTCTCTACCGTGCGGCGAATAGACGCGGAGGTTGATGGGCACTGGTGAGATGCCCTTGTTGGTTCCAGTGACCCGATCCGTCTCAGCCTCGATCTCCAAGCGCACCTCCTCGAAGTCGGTGAACTTTTTACCCTTGCAGTGCAGGAACTCAGCATATTCTGCCCCAAAAGCGGGTGAGGGAGTAGGCATTATAGCCCACATTCCCACCTAGGTTCCACTCCCCCATCGGAAATTGACACCGTAGCCCCCCAAACATAGTCTTCTCCTCCTCCCTCCCCCACAACGACACGTCCCCGTTATGTCTTTTCATCACTATCGTCCACCTGGGGCCCAAAACAGGAAGCCCCTGGCCAAGCAAGTGCAGTGGCCAGGCTGAATCTCACGACAGGGGTGTGACAAAGGGGGCAGGCTGGTGGTTGAGGATTCGTACCTGTGGTAGCATTGACCAGCTGCAGGACCAGGGGGCGGCGGGTGACAATGCCAGATCCTCGAGGCAGAAAGTCCCTGCAATGAGTTTGGGGTCAGAGAAAGGTCAAGGTCTGAGAGGATGCTGCTCTGTCCCAGGGGCACCTATCCAGCCACTGGGAACTCCAAAGCCCCCTAAAAATGCTGGCCCCATCCTTCACCCAAGGGCTTCAGGACACCCGGAGGAGGTGGCAGTCAAGAAAGCTGGAAAGAGCTCCCTGAGCTTTCCTGGGTGACAGAAATTACGCATCTGAGCTGCCAAGAGACAAGACCAACAACTTCCCAGATCTCTCTCAGACATGTCCTATGTTGGTTCTGAGCCAACAGGAAGTCTCTGCCTCAACCTGGCCACTGCCATTCAGCCCAAGAGAAACTGAGGCATGCCTAAATGTCCAGTAGCCAAAGAGGAAATGGAGCTGCACCTCCCCTTCCCTTCTGCTGCGAGGAAAGACAGCATTTCACTTCCTCCTCCCCAGGTCCCATCTGGCTGGAGCTGACTTGGGACAGGGGAAGGAGGAGGCAAAGAAAAGCATTCATGCTTCTGAAGTGCCTACTGAGTGCCAGGTGCTTTGTAGGCAATATCTCACAGGCTCCACATATAGCCCCATAAGGCAGGTGCTGTTATTATCTTTCCCTTTACAGATGAGGAAACCGAGGCTCAGAGACATTCAAGTTGCACAGCCAGTATCTGCCAGAGCAGGACCTGGGCCTAGGTCTGTTTGACTTTGCAGTGCAAGCTCCCTGCCCTTCAGCCCCCTTCTTGCCTCTGAAAGACTGGACTAAGGGGTCCCAAAGGCATTCCTTGCCCCCAGGCCTGACAGTCTATACGCAGACATCTGCTCATGCTGATGTCAGCCTCAGCCTTAGCCATGCTTTTGGCTGACTCTTTCGGGTGTGGGTTCTCTCTGTCCTGTCAGCTCTTCTCATCTCCCTCACCCTTGGCCCCACCCTGCTCATGACAAGCAGAAGGGTGGAGGCACCTCCAGGAATCAGGCTGGGGGAACCAGAAGTCATGGGATCTTCAGGTCACAGCCCAAGTGGCCCCAGAGATCCAGACAGCCACCTCATTCATGAGAAGACAGACAGAGGCCCAGGAGGGGAACGGACACACTCAGGCTCCCACTGAAGCTCGGGCAGAGCAGGGGCCAGAACCCAGGTTTCCTGCTGCTACCCTAGAGCCTGCCCCTGGCCTCACAAAGCTTCCTGCATCCCAGAGGCAAAGGATTCTGGAGACAAGAGAGTAGGCCCAAACTCCTAGGTTCAAGGCTTCCTCTGGAGACCTGGGGAGGCCTCTTCTGACCCGCATCCTCATCCTGCCCCATTTGGGGTGAGAGCAGAGTGTGTTGGGAGGAGTCATGAAGAATCCAGGCAGGAGCTGGGGGAGCCATTCTAAAGGAGAAGGAGGAGGATGTTAAATCCTTCATTCATTAATCTCTTGCATTTATTAATCATTTTTTAGGTGCCAGGTCCAAAACTCAAACCAAACCCACTGCCACTGAGTCAATTCCAATTCACAACAACCCCCGTAGGGTTTCCAAGGCTGTAAATCTTTACGGAAGCAGACTGCCTCATCTTTCTTCTGTGGAGTGGCTGGTGGGTTTGAACCACTGACCTTTTGGTTAACAGCCAAATGCCTTAACCACTATACCACAAGAGCTCTTTTAGGTGCCAGGTAGAATGATTAATTCCTGCAAGACTGAGTTTCAGGTGAGCAAGAATTGCATCTGTCTGTCCACCACAGTATCCTAGTGCCTAGGACAGAGCCTAGAACACAAGAGAAGCTCAGGAAATTGAATCCCCAAGTTGTCAAAACAGTTCTCTGACCCCTAATTACCCTTCAGGTCTGGAACTGAACTCATTCCCATGGCTTGAGCAAAACAATAGACAGGCATGTAGGGTGAACATTTACACCAGGTAGATACACTCCTTAGAGCAATGGGAGAACAGAAGGACAGTGTTTGCACAGGGAGACAGCTGGGGGAGGGCAGGGAGTACACGAGAGGGAAAGACACAAGGAAGAGGTAACTACGGGGAAGAAGTGGGAAGAGAGCTGTTACATTGTGGGGAATCACAGTCAGGGTCATGAAACAAAATGTGTATGAACTGCTGTGTGGAAAATGAATTTGCTCCGTAAACTTTCACCCAAGTCACAATAAAAATTTAAATTAAAAAAACCCCAAGAAAACAGTGCTCATTTTTCAGATGAAGAAACTAAGGTTCAGAGAGGTGTGGAGACTTGCCCAAGGTCACCTAACTAGGAATGTCAGAGCTGGCATTCAAACCTGAGTGTCTGTTGGACCCCAAAGCCTGAGGAACTTTCCATCAAACTATGCTGCCCCCTAAAACCAAGAAGCCAGTCTTGGATTTTTATATAATTCGATTACACTCCATCTAGGCATATTTGCAAGCAGTTGCTTGGTGCCAGGCCCTGTACTGGGCCCTGGGGATAGGAGATGAGTCAGACAGTTCCCTCTGTGGTGAGAAAGGCAGACAGTAAACAGAAAATGCAATGCAGTGTGACATGTGCTAGAATGGAGGTGTACCAGGCAGCACAAAGAAGGAGGTGACTAACTGGGAGATGGGGGAGTAGAGGGACTTCCTGCCTCTATGTCCTATCCTTTATTCACTGACTTCTTTGGGGAGGTGACCTCCTAGTTTTAGGTGGTCCCCTAGGACTATGGAAATAAGACATTTGGTCTCACAGTGACAGGGGTGGATATGGGGACCTAGGGACCACCCTTCTTCCCCACTGGCTCCTCACTTAGCAACACCATGGCAACTTCTGCTGCCATGGAAACCACAGGATGGGTGGGGAAAGATGTGACTCCCCACAGAGAGCACCCCCCCCCCACACACACACACACACAGACTGGGACCTTCCCGGGAGCTCCTTCCTGAGAGGCCTCCCCCTGCAGAGATGGGCTCACCCAGCCATGTGGACCCGAGGGGGTGGGGATGCACAGAGGGTGTGGGAGCCCAGGGTGGTAGGCGGTGGGTTATCAGGGGCCTGGACCACCCTGCCCCAAGTCACTGCCTCCCAGGGCTATTTAAAGGACAAGCAGCTTATGGGAAGCAGAGATTAGAGGGCAGGGCCACGTCTGGGGAAGAGCTCTTCAACAAGATCTCCCGTGTGAGGGAGGGGAAGGGGGTGTAGGGTGGGGACAGGCCCTGTCTTTGCCATGGCCCAGGTGCCCAGAGTCTGGCCCTCATGTGGCCAGCATCAGAATTCCTTGGGCAGCTTGTTAAAATGCACATTCCTCAGACATGCTGAGGTGGTTTCCGGGTGGAGGTGGGGGCAGTTAGGATAGGAAGGGCAGGATCTGGATTTTTAAACCCAATCCCCAGGTGATTTTCATGTTTCCTCTCTGGCAGCAAAGTGTTTAAGGCATTTGAATGCTAACAAGAAGGCTGGCAGTTCAAACCCACCAGGTGCTCTGTGGAAGGAAGATGAGGCAATCTATTTCTGTAAAGATTTACCACCTTAGAAACCTAATGGGGACCTAATGGGGGTCGTTATGAGTCAGAATCCACTTGATAGCAGTGGGTTTGGTGTTGGTTTTCAAGTCTAAGGATCATTGGCTTAGGGGTTAGGAGACAGGAGTCCTGGTCTTGGGTCCGAATCATGCCTCTGCCTAGCCCTAGCCCGGTGCCCTTGAGTAAGCTGCTTTTCCCTCTGGGCCTCAAAGTCCTCAGCTACAAACAGGACATTCTTTACAGCCACATGTGGCTGCAGGAGGAGGCATGGGGCCTTTTCATGGAAAGGGAGCTCTGGTAGCATAGTGCCTAAGGCATTTGACTGCTAACAAGAAGGCTGGTGGTTCAAACCCACTAGCCACTCCATGGAAGGAATATTGGGCAATCTACTTTTGTAGACGTACTGCCTCAGAAACCCAAGGAGGGGTTGCAATGAGTCGGAAATTACTTGATGGCAGTGAGTTTGATTTTTGTTTTTCATGGAAAGAGCTTAGCCCGTGCCCAGTACATAGTAGGTGCTCAGTAGCTCAAGAGTGCTGCCCAGCAATGTGACTCTTATTCTATAGGAGGACCACCACCCCACCCACCCCCAGCCCAAATGTCAGCAAGGGAATCAATCCTAAACCCCACAGACCCTTCCTCCTCACCTCCTCCAGACCGTGAATTTAATCTATGAAATGATAGGTGGAAATGATGGACATCAAGGAGACGTTTGCATCTCATTCCAGCATCATTGTCCAGAGGGTGGGACCGAGGCCCAGAGAAGGACAGGGAGCTATGAAGCCACACAGCAATGAGAGAGTTGGCTGAGATGGGACCAGGACCCTGAAGGCCTGCTTTTCAACTTCATACTTAGACAAGGAGGAGGACCTGCTGGTTCCCACATGTGGGCTGTGAGCCCCTGTACACTGTCATATCCCCATGCCCAGTACAGGTCCTGGAATGTACTAGGTGCCCAGGCAATACTCCTGGAAGAACCAGTCATGCTCAGCACCTCCACAGCTCCTTCCTCCCCTGGACACACTCCCCATAGCGCTCTATTAACCAGCCTCCTGGGCGCATCTCCAGCTAGGATGCAGTCGCTTAGACCTCCAGCCAGGGCCGCCCCCTGTACCTCCCACTCCAGCTCCTGGTTAGGCTGAGGGAGGACAGAACAGGTGCCCTGAGAGAAGTGTGCCAGGCCCATGAGCCACGGTGGCTGTGCGCTGCGCCCCAGGGTGGGCGGATGGATGGTAGCATGCCAGCTCTCACCACTCATTTTGGGCAGATGGTGGTTTCCCTGGGAGGCCTTGCCTTGCCATCTGCAGAGGCGCCTTCAAACCTGAAGCGCAGGGAGGGTGAAATAAACACTTCCTGGGACCTCAAAGCACCACACACCCTCACTGGAATTGGCACTGTCATCCCCCGAGGGATCTGGAGAAATAGTACCAATAAGGGGCTGACTGACCACTGCTACTCTAGGACCTGAAATCTGGGACCAAGCTCAGGGATGCTGATTACTGGGCCCTACTGAACGCAAGGGAGCTCTGTTAGCATAGTGCCTAAGGCACTTGACTACTAACCAG